AAAATCAATCACAAAGGATATGTGCTCTAGTCAATTCAGTTTTGCGGGACTTTAATCGACCCCATGACCATCTGCATAACATTCAGCTTACAGCCACTAGGCTGAATAAAGTTTCGTGTTAGCTATCAAATATTTTAACCCCAGTGGACACAAGACCTTTTTCGTTGAAACGGAGTAATTATGGACCCCATTTAAAATCTACTAGAACTCCCACATGGAGTGAGCATATCTTGCACAATTAGAAATTCATATACACGTGTCTCATTTGTTATGGACAAATCTTAGTTTTTCAGGATCCCAGCAGCAACACGCTTTGTGACGATTTTTGTGCTTTCTCGTTATGTTAAGAATATATATTGAACTCTTCAAACATGGTTTGTGCATATTCTCACCTATCTTGTCATTCTCGGCATCTCCTTGTTCACCGTTTGGTAAATCGGGGCAGTTGTCAAACTCGTCAAGGACTCCATCGCCATCCCTGAAAACAGAAATTTGTCTGTGAGAAGCGTATCGCACATAAGAGCTTCTGCGCTACGAACGCCATCACTAGATATCAGGGAGGGGGGAGGGGGGTTGTTATCTCTTACTTGTCTTTTCCAGGTCCATCGCATACATCTCCGTACCCGTTTTCGTCATTGTCCGGCTAAAAGATGAATTGCACCATAAGTATAGTTATATCTTGAGACTACAAAACATAATGAGATAACAACACCGAAGAACTGATTACCTACTTGTAAGTATAGAAAGAAATTACAAGTAAGAGAAAATTAAACGTGATATTTCGGTTCTTATTACAAGAATGCTATCAACCATAGCAGAGATAGTGAAGTGTTGAGCTATAAACTCAGCTAGTTTTGGCGTGGCATGCAAATTAAAGGGTTGGGAGTTTGTATTGCCTTTTATATTCGTCTCAAAGACTAAATTCCGTTGAAGTGCCTCTATAACACAGTTTTGTTGGCTTGATTTTATAAATATCAGCGAGTAAGCAATTTAGAGCAAATTTGACCCAGAAAGTCTGCCAGGTAATGGTTCAGTGCAGACTTACGAAAGACTCGAGAAGGTGAGCGCATTATCGTCTCATTCAAAAAATAAATAAAATGGTTTTTACAGAATCCAAATGGAACGGAAAAATTATCGATTTTGGTAGTAAGAGATCTAAGCGTCGTGCAAAAGGTCTTGTTGGCCGTACCTGGTCTCCATTGTGCAAGGCATTGATGTCTTTTGGACAGTTGTCACAAAGGTTACCCACATTATCACCATCATCTTCAAGTTGGTCGCCAGTAGCGTTTAACCTGGGACATTTGTCGTTTATATCCAATATTCCTGGTTTCAAAGGATATAGATGAGAATGCACCATTGTTGTCTTCAGAACCACTTATCTTGGATTCAATATATAACTTGTAAGTACTAGTTGTGAATTGTAGCCAGCTCTGTTAAAAAGGGCTCAATACACATTTGTGTAGAGCGGTATATAACATTAAGTGACTAGAAGGAAACGCACGTCATTAACGTGTAAGTATAGTTTTTACGAGCTTATTAAATTGATATCTCCTAAGTTCAGGAACTCAAGTTAAGTTCTGAACAGCTAAGGAATAATTATAAATAAAGAAAATGATTAACCATGAAATATGTCAAAGAAAGAAGAAGAAAATATTCAAATATACAAGGCAGACAGAGATAGCAAACGACGAAATTGAACATTTTATGGGAATTTTCGAAGGGATGATTCTACTTCTGGGCCGTAACTTAGAAGTCCTTGCTTTGTGAGCCCGTCTTCGTCCATAAAAAATAAAAGTTATGATAATCAAACAATCTGGTTTTTCCCTCATTACCCGTAGAGGGCAAGTGATGGTTGTTAGGATTTCTTAGCATAACGTTCCTATTTTGCTATTATAGTGAACATCCTATTGCTATTTACCGTCCCCATCTTGATCGTCATCACATACGTCTCCATCGCCGTCCCCGTCTGTGTCTGTCTGGTCTGGGTTACGAATAGCCACACAGTTATCACATTTGTCCCCCACACCATCTTTATCTGTGTCTGTTTGGTCAAGATTATCTACAAAGATACAGTTATCCTGCGATAGAAAAAAAAAAAAACAAAAAACGATGGATCAACAAAGAAAGATTGTGAAAATCGGCTATAATTACAAGTACGTAAAATAAACAAAGATTTGGATTCTTGGAGCCTCAGACCCTTCAAATTTACGGTCAGATTTTACGTCATCGGATCTGAAGAGAACTCGCTGCCAAGCATGCATGGAAATTTAAGAGGCCACTCGTGCGTGACAAGCGTCCTTCGTAATGCTAGGAGGGGCAATGTCGAGAGTGTCTGGTATTGTGGTAAAGTAAAAAAGATGAAAATTCAGTGTAACATCTGAAACCTTTTTGTCAGGAACCAAATCGTTATCGTCATCTTCATCACAAGCATCACCGTCGGTGTCACCATCATTGTCCTCCTGGCCTGTGTTCGGTACACTTGGACAGTTATCCTGCAAGGTAGATACTAATTACTAATTGTTCCATCGAAAAAGTGATTGGTTCAATAATGCTAAGCGGTGAAATATTTATGTCAGACGGAATAACGCCCTTAAAAAGGAGACTGGTTTGAAGGCTGGAATCGGTACGGGATGAGTCGCAATCCTTAAGATAGCCCTGTCGACGTTTCACACAAATGAATATAGAAACAGACCTTTCTGCAGTTGGGTAAGGTACAACTCAGTGCTTTGAAAGGAATGTTATCAAGATCGGGATCGACCTCACACTCTTCTCCCTCACCTGCGAAACCCTCTTTACACTGAAAATTAAGCAAAGATTATAACCTCAACCATGACTCTTGTGCTAGTCTGAAATATGTTCGACTGCCTATTATGCAATCTATTATGCACTGTACGTTTAGCTTCAACAGATTCTCCCTCTAATATCTAACTGTAGGATTATCCATCCTTACAACCTCGATTCCATGTCTTAGCCCTCTTAGCATTCAGCCACTTTCTCCCTTCTTAATCTTTAACATATTTTTTGTGCTTTTCCCTCTCCTAGTGAGTTCATCAGCATATTTTGAAGCCTCCTTCAAGTTGAAGGGCGCATTTTTTAGACTTAAAAGTTAATTCGCCCTTTAAGCATCGTAATCTGATCGACCATTGGTTTTTAAACAAAAATGGAGATGCAGAGAGAGATAATTCAAAAGTCATATTCACTCATCTCTTGAAACAGATTTACTCTTTAATCAGCGAAGTTTGGGTTAGCTCCATGCTCTTTACTGAGCTTAATTTGACCACAACCCAACGAATCTATGTTCACATGTGATTTTCATACCGTACACTTGTATCTTCCTGCTCCAGTTGATGAACATTGTGCATTCGCTTGACAGGTATGTTGCGAGCTAGTGCACAGGTCACCGGGATAACAGCCTAGATAACCATCCCCAATGAATCCAGGTTTACATGGACTGCATTTGAAACTTCCCTGAAAAAATCATTCAAACTTTTTATTGCATGTTGCAACTTTATTATAAAGGCAAAATGTCAAGTAGGTGCCAGGGTTCAAATTTGTCTCCCCTCCACAGTGTAAAGTAAAACAATGCCTGTTAGTTCTGATGATTGAGACTTCATCCGACGTTGACAAAAAGTCCATTGTTTAACACAGAGGACTCCAATCTTTCTATCGATTTACCTTACTTCTCTCTCCTTTGGTGAAAAGTCCCCTTGAAAGCTTAATCACAATGATAACCGAAATGAAAGTGTTGAAGACAGTCTTATTTTAACCATTCTCATTATCCCCCTGCAGCTTAACACTGTCAAAAAAGTTCCTAAAAAAGATCCTGAATCCAATGTCAGTTGTAATCTGAGTCAATTCGTGTGTGTGCGTAACATCCTTTGTGCATTTTTCCCGCATAAGTCGGTGGAATGCAAGGTTAACAAATCTACGAAAACGATATTTAGAAGAAGGGATGAGAGGAGCCGCACTTGTGTAACCAATTTATCAAAAAGAAAACGCCACAATATTTCATAAAAAGATATTGATCGCAATTCATTTCACACCTACCAGTGTATTGATACAATTTGCGTTCGGATCACATGTGTCAATTCCTTCGCTGCACTCGTCGATTTCTTCACACTTCTGTTTGTACTTCTGCGCATGCTCAAGTCCTACTCCTGATGGAGCATTGCCGCGGTAACCGTTCGGACATCCTCCGCAGCGGTACCCCGGAGAAAGGTTCACACATTCATCAGGCTCGTAACATGGGTTTGCCAGGACACACTAAACAAAGAAAATATGTTCTAGTTTGTACCATACTGGGGTGCCTCAAGGTAGTATCTTCGGCCTGCTTTTATTCCCAGTATATGTGAACGATCTACCTACTGTTATTGACAGTCGTGCTGCTTTATTTGCTGATGATTCAAAATGTACTAGAGTCATCAGAGAAGAATCTGATTGTGCTGCTCTCCAAGATGACCTTAATAGTCTTAATTACTGGAGCCAGGAATGGCAGCTTCGTTTTAACAGCTCAAAATGCGAAATATCGACAGTTTCTTGGAAAAAAGGAACCTTTTAATTATGACTATGACTTAGACTCGAAATCTCTTAATCCCGTATCAACTATAAAAGATCTAGGGGTCGTTGTATCTAATGACTTAAAGTGGAACAATCATATCGATCACATACTTGCAAAAGGATATAGAATATTAAGCTTTTTAAAAAGGCACACTTTAAAATCATTTCATGACAACACAAGAAAACTT